TAAATGCTGCTTTTAGTATGAAGCCTTAAAAACACCCTAGTCATGATGGTCTCCATGCAGGTTTTTTTCAGAAATACTGGTCTATTGTTGCTCCCAATATATTGTTCTGAGGGTCGTAATTTTTTTGAAGGAAAGGATGTTGACCTTGCTCTTAATGAGACTACCTTAGTTCTTATTCCGAAGGTCGATAGCCCATCCATGATTCATCAATTTCAGCCTATTAGTCTTTGAACGATTGTTTATAAGATTATTTTACTAAGGTGATCGTTAACAGAATTAAGGTCTTTCTTCCGCAAGAGATTGGTCCTACTCAAACGAGCTTTCTTCCTGGATGACAGATTACGGATAATATATTATTGCTCAGGAGGTGATTCATACTATGCGAAGGAAAAAGGGCAAGAAGGGTTTTATTGCTATTAAAATTGATCTTGAGAAAGCATATGACCATATTTGATGGGACTTTCTTCTAGACTCCTTGAATGATTTGGGTTTTTTTGCTTCGCTCTCTCAGGTTATTATGAATTGTGTTTCTAAGCCCTCCATGCAAGTTCTTTGCTATTAAATTGATCTTGAGAAAGCATGATGACCTATTTGGATGGACTTTCTTCTAGACTCCTTTGAATGATTCTATTAAAATTGATCTTGAGAAAGCATATGACCATATTTGATGGGACTTTCTTCTAGACTCCTTGAATGATTTGGGTTTTTTTGCTTCGCTCTCTCAGGTTATTATGAATTGTGTTTCTAAGCCCTCCATGCAAGTTCGATGCATGGTGAATTAAATGGTTGAATCACCAAACACACCTACCAGCATATATTATTGCTGGTAGGGTTTTCTATGCGAAGGAAAACCCTACTCAAACGAGCTTTCTTCCTGGATGACAGATTACGGATAATATATTATTGCTCAGGAGGTGATTCATACTATGCGAAGGAAAAGGGCAAGAAGGGTTTTATTGCATTAAAATTGATCTTGAGAAAGCATATGACCATATTTGATGGGACTTTCTTCTAGACTCCTTGAATGATTTGGGTTTTTTTGCTTCGCTCTCTCAGGTTATTATGAATTGTGTTTCTAAGCCCTCCATGCAAGTTCGATGGCATGGTGAATTAAATGGTTGAATCACCAAACACACCTACCAGCATATTCTGGATAAGGTTTCAAATCGTCTCAGTGGGTGGTCTACTTTTCAGTTTGTCTCTGGCAGGCAGAATCACTCTCTCAATCGGTGATTGTTGCTATGCTGATTTTCTCTATATGGATCACATGCCCGCCGCAGACTATCTGCAATTCTATTGATAAAGCTTGTCGCAATTTTGTTTGGGGCTCGTCAACTAATCATCAAAAGGAAGCTCTTGTTCCTTAGCATAGGGTCCAAACTTCGAAATTGGTAGGAGGTTTGGGTTTTTGCAACTTGACTACTTTTAACTCAACGTTTATGATGAAATTATGTTGGGGTCTCATTTCTAAGTTGGATGCTCTTTGGGTCCAAATTTTACGCTCAAAGTACAACATGGGAAGGGATTTGATCCCTGTTGAGTTTTCTAGTTCTGCGCAATGGTGGCGAGGGGTATTTGTCGTGCTATGCCCGTTGTTAAAACGAGAATGGTTTTGGCTTTGGGTGATGCTACTTTGGTTCATTTTTGGTTGGATGCCTGGTTGGAGGTGGGTCTTGTCTTGATTGATCATGCCATTTCTCTAGTTCGTACTGCTTTGTGAATGGACACTGTAAATTTATATGTTACTAGCTTAGGGCGCTGGACCCTTGAGTTTCTTAGTGATTTCCTACTGTTTTTGTCACTGTTATTTTTAACTTGATTTGTATTTGATACATAATTTAATCCTGAATTTCATACGAAAAATAAATAATGATAGTATTAAACATAACCAATAGTCTAGTTATCAGATTAATTACAGATAATATTTTCTCTTGTATTGATTAATCTTTCCATTGTTTTCAATATAAATAATTTATTCAAAAAGATTTATTTAACACATACTATGGAATAACAGAGAAAAAATTTATGTTGAAAAATACATTTAATTTCTTGATTTACTTTATATTTGGAAATGCATGTTATTTTTTTTCCTATTATTATTACTTTTGCAGTAATTAGTATTATATAAAAACTAAAACTAGAAAGTTATGGAAATAATTTGAAATTCATAATAAAAAAAAGACAATTAAAATTTTAAAGAAAAAATGGGATGAAAATTTTCGATTTTCGGAACAAAATAGGATGGGACAGAACTTGAATCGATATGCAGTTTTAATCAAAGAACTAATCTCATCCCATAATTACTTTCTGAATGGGATTTGTGACTAGACAATAAAATTAATATCGGAGGATTTTTCTTGAGATGAAAAATTTGAAATAGTTTTCGGGAACAGATCGAGATTCTCACAGTTCCATGCTCACCCCTAGTGAAATAACTGAGCCTAACCAGTACCGTTTTTTGATTACGTAAAGTAATTTGGCAAGAAAATCACCAAATGGTGGATAATCTTGCTTATTCTTTTTTCTTTAATAAACTTAACTCTTTAATTTTGTAACTCAGGTTCAACACGAATTCACTCAACGCGCAACACGATTAGAGTCAACATGAACACGATCAATTTAATAATTGTATTAAATTTATCAACACGAATACGACACGAAAATTAAATAGGTGATACAAACATGACACGTTTAACCCCCCTAATATAATAAACAAGTTAAGTAGGTCGTATTAATCAATGTACAACCCATGTAACCTGCTTAATATCATAAATAGATTAAGTGAGTCGTGTTAATCTGTACACAATCCACTTAACCTACTTATAATATTTTAAAATTTTAACCTATTTAACTCCAATCATATTTAAAAATAAATTTACATACGTAAAATGCATAAATTCTTCAAGATTCATAACTAAAATAAAAAAGTTACAACAATAAAATTTAAATAAGTTTTAGTTGGAGTATTTATATCTAATACTAAAATTACCTCTTTACTCTTATATAAATGGGTCACTTACAACAATAAAATTTAAATAAGTTTTAGTTGGAGTATTTATATCTAATACTAAAATTACCTCTTTACTCTTATATAAATGGGTCACTCGCTTAACCCGCGTGTCAATATGCGACACGACACGTTTATATTCGTGTCATAAATGGATGACTCATTTATGACATGAACTCGTTTAACTTCAATCCTAACTCATTTATTTCGCATGTTAGGCAAATCTTGTTCGCCTGATATGATATATTTTGATACCCCTAATATGACCTACATCAGCAAATGCCTGCACACTATTAATATCTTTTTCAATAGTGATAATAATTTTGAGAATTTAATTAATTATATTGAAATAAGAAATTAAGTATTTTTTTTTATTTTATGTTTATGACTTATTATTTATGTTTATGACTTATTATACATGAATATTGTTTATTTACTTGAAATATTAACGTATTGTTCTCGTATTTTCTGTCCCGTGTCCATGCAATCTAGCCCCTTGTGTATGAGACTACTTCACACATCAAGCAACTCAATTAAGATTTTTTTTTTATTACCACAAAAATAAGTGTTTTTTTTTTAATTTATTTATGTGTCTTTTTCTTTTATTAATGAAAGATAAGAAAAAATAAGAAGGAACTAAATTTTTTTAAAAAAAAAAACTTATGTTACTTATTTTTCTAGATATAAAAAAAAATTAATAAAGGAAAGAAAACGCAGAGAGTAAAGAGTTGAGATTAGAAGTGAATTCTTACAATGATCAATTTCAACCAAAGCGTGACTCTAAACGAAAGGGAGAGTTTATTGAATTAAAAAACTCATGAACATGAACAAAAAAAATTAGGCTGGCCAATTAATTGAATACTACAACAATTATTCCAACTTTACACCTTCAGAACTTGTAGAGCAGCTGATTAGCTTTTTCACAAGCAGATCATTGTTTACTATCAACTCCACGGTAGTAGCATCTGCAGAAAACCCCTTGCCAACCATTTCATCAATAAGTTGGTTCGCCATGGACGAATTGTTGTACCAGAGATATCCTTGGATAATCACATTATAAGAGCAAACTGTTCAGTAAGCAACCATTCCCTTCCATTTTCCTGAAAGAGCAAACTGTTCAGTAAGCAACCATTCCCTTCCATTTTCCTGAACACCGGTAATGCTGCATCTAGTAATCCTTCTTTACTAAGTCCATTAACCATTACAGTGTATATGCAAACATCAGGCTGTAACTTTTCTACGGAAAGTTTAGGAAACAGTTCCTTTGCATATTTAATCTTTCCAGTTTTGAACATACCATCAAATAAGGTAAACAATAAGATCAGGCTTCAACAAGTTATTTTGCATTTCACGAAATAGATCCAACACCATATCAAGATATCTTATGCACAGCCCAAGGACTCTTTGCTTTACACAAGCCATGCATAAGAGAATTATAAGTGAAATTATCAGGCATCAAGCCTTTGCAAGGCATTTCATCAAGAAGCCGCATTGCTTTATCTATCCTTTTTCTCTTACAGTAACAATGAATCAAGATGCTTTAGGTAACAACAGTAGGTGTACAGCCCTTTCTTACCATTAGGTTAAAAATTTTTCTAGCTTGATCCACTTGGTTGTACAGACAATATTCGTCCATCAATGAACCGTAGGTGATAACATGAGACTCTATTCCTCCCTGCATCATCAATTTGACTGCTTCATGAGCTTTTCCTTTCCTTCCATATAAAGTCCATCAACCAAAGTATTGTAAGGTAATTATATTTGGTGCGACGTTTGCTCTCAACATTTGGTTAAGCAACATAAAAGCTTCCTTCCATCTGCTTGACATACAGAAACCATGGATTAAGGTGCTGTAGGTCACAACATCAGGCAAGATACTTTCGCTCTTTATTTTCAAGAAGAGGTCTAATGCCTCGGCAACCAATGTGTCCTTGCAGAGGCTGTCAATGATAGCACTGTATGACACCAAATTAGGCAGGCAACCTTCCTCGACCATTCACAATCACAGTATAGGTATAAACATCAGGTTGATACCCTTGTATAAACATCAGGTTGATACCCTTTTTCAACAATATCATCAAACAAATCCATAGCTTCACCAATTTGTTTCTCTCATGTGGCTATTGATTATCTTCTCATTAGAATTGCTCATTATGTAACAATTATCTTATTTATCCTATATATTAAGCAGCATGTGATAATAATTTTCTCATTTTTACGTTTTCAGGAGACGTTTTGCACTTCATTTTAGCTTACCTTAATATATATGTCTTTATGAGACTGAACAAGCTGAAACAATAATAGAAAGAAAAGAGAAAACTGGAACAATGTTATATATTGATAATCGAGAGAGGGTAAAGTGTTTACTTATATAAAAGTCCTATAAAAGTTAAGCTGTATATAGCTGAATTATACAATAATACAAATAATATTCTACTTTTTAGACTTCCAAGAGACTAATGCATCACCAAGAAATACACAAAATCCTATGAGAGAACTCCTTGTAAAGGAACATGATGCCCTGTCTGCATAACGGTAAGCTTGGAGCTGCAAATTATTAGAAGCAAAGAAAAACAAACCCCTTGAGGGACAACCATTTAAATACTTAACAAGATACAGAGCAACCAAAAGATAAGGTCGTCTAGAAGAAGACATAAATTGATTGAGATGGTGAACATAGTAATTCAAGTCAGGTCTTGTTAAAGGGAATAAAGTAGTTCACCAACATCTAAAAGTTCTCCTTCATCTAGAGACTATTTAAGACCTCTAGGAAGCAACATCTAAAAGTTCTCCTTCATCTAGAGACTATTTAAGACCTCTAGGAAGAGGAGATAATGAAGCCTTAGCATCTTGCAAACCAGTTTCATGAACCACATCAAGAATAAATTTTTGCTAACTAATAATAGTGCCGTATCAGACCTGGCTATTTCAATACCCAGAAAGTATTTTGCAGAACCAAGATCCTTCTTAAAGAATTTACCATCAAGAGATTGTTTAACAGAAGTAATAGCACCCATATCAGTTCTAGTAATTATAACATCAACATATACCAGAATAACAAGAAAATGATTATCAATAGATCTTATAAATGAACACTGATCATGAGTAGATTGACAAAACCCCAATTTCAAAATAAAGGTAGTAAATTCAAGGTTTCATTGCCTCGAAGCTTGTCTAAGACCATAAACATATCTTTTTGACATAACTCCATTAGGCTTATAACTCCACTAGGCTTATATTTGATCTTAAAAATCCAAGTACCATTATTTTCTAAAGCAGTCAATTCTTCTGTCATTGCCTTAACCCAATTAGGATCTTTTGAGGCTTTAAGGTAAGTGGTTGGTTCATGAATTTTAGCTATTTAAATGAAAGCTAAATGAACTTGAATCAGTACTGGAGAGAACTAACTTGATGGAGAAATGACAATATTGACAAAATCCTTTAACGTGCTGGTTTGGAAATACTTCTGGTATTTCTTCTTAAAGGAACATGGTTTTGAGAAACAGGAGAAAATGCAGGATGTGAAGAAGAATCAATAGGAGGGAGACAGGTAATTGAGAGAGTTCAGTGAACTGGAAAGAGGAAAATGTGCTGGATCAGGTAAAGAAACATCAAAAGCAGTAGAATAAGGAGGACCAGGAACAGGAAAAGAAGATAGAATAGATTTTGAATTAAAAGGAAAATGAAGAACAAGTGATGGAGAAAGAGAAGACAGATTTACTAAAATAAGAAAGTTATTTTCTCTAAAATAAGGGGACAAAAATTACAAATTATGTTGGATAGCAAATTTAACAAGTGAAAAGAAACAACATTGCTCCCTTTTTTCTCTTGATAGCAAATTCAAGAGAAAGCAAGTAAAAATATAATAGGTCTCTTTTCGTAACAAAACTAGTTCGAAATATAATAGACAAATATAAAGCTTGAAAGAATCACATTAACTAGTTTCAGAACAAAGCCTAACGAACTAAGTATCAGATGTACACGAAACAAGATCGAAGTAAAACTCTATTTGGAAGAAAATTTACAGATTTAACTCGTCAAAGGCACATAAGTATGACAGGGAGAGTAAACAAATGAAAAGTAAACAACCAGTTCCCTCTTTTAATCGAGTGTGCTGCTTTTCTATGCCAGTTCAATGGGTATGCAGCAAGTTCAAGAGAAAGAAAGCAAATAAAACAATTAATATTCCAAATTATTGCCAAGGCCAGCTGCAGCAAATATATAGAACCACAAGCTACTGAATTAAACTCAAAATTAAACTCAAAACAGAACATACCTCCTGTAAACGGACATAACAATCAAACTCAATTTTTCACCTTTTGAGAACTTTTTTGAGCAGCTCAAAAGCTTTTTTACAAGCAGGATAAAGCTTTTTTACAAGCAGATCATCATTTACTACCAACTCCACAGTAGTGGCATCTGCAGAAAACCCCTTGCCAACCATTTCATCAATTAGTTTTGTTACCATTGACAAATCTTTGATTCGGAGATATCCTTGGATAATCACGTTATAAGAGCAACTGTTTGGTAAGCAACCATTCCCTTCCATTTTCCTAAACACCTTCAATGCTTCATCAAGTAATCCTTCTTTACTAAGTCCATTGACCATTATATTGTATGTGCAAACATCAGGATGCAACCCTTCCATGGAAAGTCTAGAAAACAATTCCTTTGCATCTTTAACCTTTCCAGCTTTGAACATACCATCAATTAGAGTACTATAAACAATAAGGTTAGGCTTCAATAATTTCTTTTGCATTTCACGAAATAGATCCAGCGCCATATCAAGACACATATGCTTACAAAAGCCATCTATCAAAACCGAGTACGCCGCCACATTGGGAGAATAGCCACTAGCTCGCAAGTCCTGGAAAAACTTATGTGCAGCCCAAGGGCTCTTTGCTTTACACAAGCCACGCATAAGAGAACTATAAGTAAAATCATCAGGCATCAAACCTTTGCAAGGCATTTCATCAAGAAGCCGCATTGCCTCATCTATCCTTTTTCTCTTACAGTAACAATGAATCAAGATGTTGTAGGTAACAACAGTAGGTGTCAACAGTGAAGGTGTAACAGCCATTCTTACGCGATCAAGGTTAAAAGATTTCTCGTAGCTTGAGATCCACTTCGTTGTGTAACACAAATATCCGATTCGCATTAATGAACTGTAGGTGATAACCATCATGCTCTAGTGCGTCATCTGCATCAAATCAATTGTGAACTACGCCATACCCTTGAGAACTTTCCCATCCTTACAAAGTCATCAACAAAAAGTATTGAAGGTAATGTAAAAATTTTGTGTACTTGCATCGCAACATTTGGTAAGCAACATAAAAGCTCCATCAATCTTTGGATCATGCACTAGAACCACTCGATTAAGGTGCTGTATGTCACAACATTAGGTTAAGATACCTTCGCTATTTATTTTGAAGAAGAGGTCTAATCTATCAGTAAGAGCCAATGTGTCTGCAAGGGAGCTGTCAATGATGAGCATTTAAGATGAACACCACACTTGCAGGCAGGCAAACTTCCTCGACGCATTCTTTTCATAACACCAAAGGCCACTATTGGGTTTTTCCCCAATTTTTAACACACACTACATAAGACCAGTTCGAGCAATCACAGTTATTACAGGTTAAAACCAATCCCCAAAAAAAAAAAAAGGTTGATACCCTTTTTCACAATATCATCAAAACAAATCCACAAGCTTCACCAAAATTTATACCTCCCTACAAAGCCCAGGATAAAGGTAGTAAGCGTTACAATATCAGCGCTTAATAACCAAGTTGTAGATTTTTAACCTAACAAGAGAGTACCCCAAAATCATCCACATGGTCTACGGATGGCAGAGTAGCAATTAATCAAAAATACTTAAAAAGAAAATTAACAAGAGATAATTTGTGAAATTCCAACATTTCATCTGTTTAGCCAGAGAAATGACAGTAGATAGGTTAATGTTTTACATTCGAACAATGTGGCCCAGATAAATAACAAGTTTTACCAAAATTACCTTAATAGGGAAGGAGATTACTATGAAGCATGCAAATCAAAGAAGCTAAACAATCATCAAATGTTTGTGGAATGAAGCCAGATTTTGCTTTTACCTCTCCAATGAAGTAGTGCTTTTTAGAACTAAATCTAAAAGAAACGGAACCAAAAATATCCATTGACCGACGAAGCAGGAAAAACTAGTAAGGCATCTCCCTCTGCTAGTAAAAGATCATCATCGATTATGCTGCCTCTTGCACAAAGCAAAAGAGAAGCAGTTTTTTCGGGAGAAGAATTTGATGACCTTCCTCTGCGTAAACAGTCCTAATTTTTTCGATTTTCTTTTCTTCAATGACGAAAATTGGATCGGGTCCACCGACCAATGAAACCAGAACCCCAAAATATGAATTACTTCTTCCAAAACCCAAAATTGCCCCCCACCCCAACATTTTCTAGCTAAATTAATTGATACTAAATTACCAAAAGTATGTGTTTATAAAACTTGCCAAGTTGTGGTCTGATTAATTGATATGTTTATTCATATGCTATCTTGAGAGTCAACTATCAGAATGAGTATATAGACTTTATCATCAAAACTATTCCTTAAGGTTGGAACTTACTTTATCATTAATAAGGTCGGCAGGATTCGGATTTCCTTCTAAGTTTATATATTGGTATTTATGAGTTAGAATATCCAACCCAAACTACTGGTTATCATATTGTAAATTGTCTAGCCTTGGCTGGGTAAGCCAAAAGACATTCAAGTTGAAATTTTTTTTTTGGAGTTTAAACACCTATTTAAGATAATTTTCTCATTGAAACAGTTAAATAGTAAAATTTTCTGAAAAGTTTTTAGAACTTTAAATTAAATAATTAACTCCTTATTGGAAAAACTATAAATAGTATGATATAATTTTTGAAAGTTTAATAGTTACTGTTATATTTCACTTTGAAGTAATCCGAGATGATTAAGGTGCATAATGGAGGAAAAATATAACCTCCAGGTTATATTATAGATACAAAAATATAAAAAAATTTCCATTATCATACTATAACATTAATAATGTAATGAAGGGGACGGGGGGAAATAATTGAATTTTTCCGTGATGAACGCAATCGATGAAATTTGAACAATATTGTTTTATAAATAACCTAGATAATTTACAAATTAAGAAATTACTATTTTATATGTATGGAATAAAGTTTTATTAAAATTAATTTTTTTTTAAATATTACATATACAGTATATTAAGCATTATCAAATTATTTTGAGAACTTTAATTTTTATTGATTTAAAATAAATGATATTTTAATTTCATTGGTTATTATTAATTTTTTCTATTGAATCTAATTGCATAGAAATTAATCTAATTAAATTTTCAAAGTAATTAAATAATAAAAATTTTATTTCTTGAGAAATATATTTTTTCCCACTTTAATCATTAATGATAAGGTGAAAGTTGACCAGTTCAATAGAGCATTAGGGAACTTTTAATAAATTTTAAATTAAATTTACGCAATTTATCCAAATAGTACAATTAAAATTTAATAACCTATTTTATATTATTTTTAGGGATAAATTTAAATTCAATTACATTGAAAATATATTGCGCGCTCGAACTACATGGACAAAATTGGATATCCTAAAAGCACAGAAAAAAAAATATAAATCAAATTGATAAATATTATATTTTTTTTTAGAGAAAAGTTAATTAAATTTAATATTTTAATTATAATCTTTATAAATCCGGTGATATGAAATGAACAATGCAGTGAAACGGTGAACAAGGCACAGCTATTTATTCGTGCAGATCATAAAAAGGAAACGAAAAAGAAAGGAAAAAGAAAAGTTTCCCGACCGATACTAATGAAGGCAACGTGAAATTAGAAGAACAATTTATAGCTAATTAATCAAATCAATAATAGGAATTATTATAAAATTTAAAATATTAGACACTAATGCCAATAATTAATAAAATTTTGAGCATGTAAAAGACTGTAAAATAGAAAAAAAAATATTAAATTTACAAATGAATTTTCAATATTTCATGAAATATGATTAAAAAAAATTGAATTTAAGTATGAAAATGAAACTTAAATTCTTTTAATTGTATTATGTAAATCTGTAGAATTTTTTAAAATTGTTAAATAATTTAATTATTAAAGACTATTAGTTTTAAGTAAATGAAGATTAAAACTAAATTTATTAAAAATTTTTCTCTTTGATTTAAAGACTTATTTGGATTATTTACACATCTAAATTGTATTATTAAAAATTTTTATGAATTCTAATTTTGCCGCTTAAACAAAAAGAATAGATTTATGGAATCATAGTAATTTATACTAAATAATCAAATATGATGGTTCCCTCTTTTAGTCTAGTGAATAATCTTTTTTGAAAAAATAGGCCTATAAAGTTTGAAATTAATAGGAAAAGTGGTTATTTTAGGCATGTTTGCTAGCATTTCCATTTTCAGCTTTCATATTTAAAGAGGAAAAATATATAGAGCTCTCTCTTGATTGCAATAGTTTTATTCTACTTTTTAAAATTTAATTTGAAAATTTCATATTAAATTGTCATGAATTTTAATTAAAATGGTACGTTTTTTAAAGCAATTTTAAAAATATGATATAAAAAAAATTAGACCTTGGGATTTTTAATTTGTTAAATATTTTTTTTTAATAAATATTGTAGGACTTTGTAATTTTATGAATTTAATTTTCGATATTATAACTTTATTTATAAACACTGAGAAAAATGATCTTCCATTACTTACTATTAGTTATTTGAACATTGTCCCCTATGGAACTTTTAAGCAAGTTTAATTTGATTTTGTGCAAAAACAACATGGAAAGCCCAAAAATAATTACAATACCATTGAATAAAATTTCACTTTTTACTTTAACTCTTTGTCACTCTCAATATTTTATGTTGATCTATCACACACTTTAACTAGATAACTCTCCTATTAAAGCACTATCATTTTTTAAATTAATTTTATTAAACCTTCAACTTACAAAATCAAAATCAATTGAACAACAACCCACGATACAATAAGTGAAAAATTTTATAAAATTAATTATTATACAAAGTCAATTGCCTAAATACATAGTCAAGTTTGATACTTTTACAAAAATAAACAGTCAAAAACGCTTAAAATTATTTGATATTAACCTCCAATAGAGTATAATAATTATCATTTACAAGTTTATAATACACATGGATACATTGCAAATTTAAGTTCCTATTAAATTAAAAAAATTGCAAAAGAGTTTCAAAGGTGAATTTATGTATATTCAGACACCTATACTTTTTTATTTTAGTAGTGATGAAGCTAAACTTCCTCTTGACAACCACAATGTTGCCAAATGAGTGGAAATTAGATATTTAAAATACAAAAAATATACATGAATAAATACCATAAATGGACGATGTTACTAATAAATCGGATTAAGGTGTTACCAATAATTTATCCTATGGGAAAAATCTTATCCAATTAACAATTATATACAGGCTTAAAAACAATAGAACTGGGTGGGAGGGAGGAAGGAAGAACATGGGGATTAGTTGTTCTTATAAACTGCAGAGTTGTTCAAAAATTGACTGCTGTACCAAGCAACATCTATAAACTAAAAACAACTTTAAAAGACAGATCTCGGTCCAGTTTCCTAGCACTCCAGCAAACTTAATCTGAACTGTCCTGATGGAATCAAACAAAATTCATTCGAAAGATCACAACACAAACAAACGGTTTTAACCAAGATATTTGTGAAATTAAACCCTAATAAAAGAATAAATAAAAAATGATATTTTTTAACATTTCTGCAAAATGTGGGAAGACATAATTAGTAACCCAAGTATAATATTATTAGCATACCATATAAAATTCTCTGCTAACTTTTTTTTAAGAAAGTTTTGGTTGTGAATAATCTAATGAGATCAAAGAAAACCCTATTCTATCAAAGACCAAAATTATCAATTAAAAAAGTGAGAAGAGAAACAAAAAGGTGTTATAAGAAAGCTTCTCTTCCTTAGAGTCCTTTTTTTTTTTTTTCTTTTTTATCTTTTCCCAAACTCAGCAAAAACCTTCTATTTAAATTAGTCCTCAAACATTGCATCAAATAGCTCATGCAACCCTCCCATGCGAGTATTTTAAAAAAAAATGGAGTCATTGGGCCCGCCCCACAATGATTTGCCCGTAATTTATGTGTACTTTGGTGTAAAATTTAGTACCAACAGAATAAGGTTAAATAGTTTGTTTTGTGTGGTGTTGTAAAAGATAACTTTATATCATGTTTCTTGTCCTTATGAAATGTTAAACATTAAATCATATTCATTATGAACAATGTAATATTGTAATTTTTTGAACTGACATAAAAAGTTATAATGCTAAACTTATATATTGAAGTCATTAGCACTAAGGATATGTAGATCCTTTCTCTTAAATTATATTCACTATCAATTAAGTACCATGAAGTAAAAAGTACAGACTTACTTGCGAATCTTACAAAACAGAAAAGAAAGGCTTATAGATAGAATAGCATATTCAAGCTCTAATAAATGAGAAAAGTTGTTCTTCCACAAGTCAGCATCTCATATTTTTGGGGAAAAGCAATAAATAATAATAGACAAAGATCATGATTCTACAAAAGACAATGTACAAATGTGGACTTACCTAAAAACTACTGGTGGTTATTTTGATCAATGGCCATGGGAGTTATTTCGCCTCTTGCCGCTGTATGAAAATTGAGTACTGAATTGAGCTTGTGAAGCTCCTTCCAGTCATTCTTCTCTAACTTCCGTTTTTCCTTAATATTTGCTGCTAAAGAGCAGAGCATCTGCAGTATTGATCAATTATCTACTTTCCTCTGATTTTCAACGATAGGCCTTTTATTCTCATAAACCATGTCCTTTCTTGTATTCTACAGCAGAGTCACAAAGAGAGCGTGCTTGAAAAAAGGATCTCAAAAAACAAGGAAAGAAACTTAAATCGACAAAAACAAGGCAAAAAAAAAAAAAAAAGAATAAATAAACAGCAAACCTGGTAAATGAGACAGGACGACCCCAGTTTCATCTTGAATTTCAAATTCAGAACTAAGTGCAATAGCCATCTGAGAAAGACAAAGCGCCAATAACTGGGGCGATTGGAATGACCTAATAAGCGAAAAAAAAAAGAGCTTAGAAATTCAAAAAATGCTTAAGAAGTAAAAGCGTAGTAATCATCCAAACAATTATCATTTGAAGTGGCAAATAGTGAACAAGAGAGCTAGCTTTTCTGCTTCTGTCTAATATAATTAGAATTCGAAGAGAATGAAATTATTGCAGGCCATAGAACCCTGTGCAATATGTTCAAGATGTAAACCAGTCCAAATGATAGTGTAATGCATTCTTGTAAATAGCAAATATTTCACAACAGGCAGAAAATATGGTTGGTCATCATGGAAGAAAGCACACTTTTTCTACTCAATCCAGCGGCTGAAGTAGTGGGTTGGCGATAGAAGAAAGAGAATTATATAAGTACCAATCTTTTATCCAATATTTCTGAGTTTCATTTTGAAATTCCTAGGAGCATGAAGTTTATAAATAACATAGAGTATGGAAAAAAAAAAATGTGTCCAACTAAAGAATCATTTTGCAAGTCGGCCCCCACAAATCAAGACACAAAACTCACCATGGCAATGTCGGTTAGGCTGCATAGTGGAAGACCACCAAGATTGCATATTGAGATGCATCCTCTGTTGTCATATATATACAATGAGTTTTAAGTTGCCCACGCAAAATTTAGGCGATAAGGAAGCTTGAAGTAACCCGGGCTGCATTGAGCCAATAAAGACATTCATCTTGGCCAGTTAATCTATCACACTTATAGCCTCTAGCTAACAATACACTCAACAGAAAGCAAAAGAATGGACACCTGATTGTAATCCGCTAGGTTAAAAGCCATGGGACAGAAGCGAATTGCCTACAAACAGGTTACTGGCACAGGGAGCATAAAAGCAGGTCTAATTCATATAAAAAAAAAGGAAAAAAATGCGATTTGACAGATTGGACTTGTTCTGTATGGACGAAGGACCCACAAACTACTTTTTATGACATGTCAATAAAAAAGAAATAATAAGCTCTAAGGGCACATTGCCTTGAAAAATCCTTTTCTGAAAATACATAAGCAGTATTTACCGTCTCTGAAGCAGGTGAAATTTTGTAAGAACCTGCAATGCCAATATTACCATATAATGAAACTAAACATCAAGGACATTACAGTCATGAGAAAAACGTACTGGCATAAATGAAAAATGGTGCACAAAGACATAACTCCCATATTAAGGTTATGAAAAAAAAAATCAAAAATAAATTTTAGTAGTTTGATACCATAATATCAACCATATGTTGCCAACTTTTCACCAACATACAAGGGAAATAAAACAATAGCGAAGCAAATGAGAAGAGAAATCTGCATTTATAATCACATCAAACCAACTCGTGAGCATTATGCTTTAATGTTTAATATGCTTTCATGGCAATCTATTGCAAAATCCTAGCAATCAACTATAAAAGCAAATAATGATCAGAATAAAGAAAGTTTTTCAACCATGAAAAATTATAAATTGCCAGGCATGTAGTTCAGGTTCTTTCCTCTTGGTCTGTGACCGCAAGAATCAATTGAAGGCCTTTTGCTCAAAAGATATCAAGCTCACACAGAACCTTTGCAACTAGGAGCGAGCATTTTAAACAGTTTAACTGAAAAAGCAAATGGGGAATCGATCTTAGTTTGCTTTTTTATCTTTGTTTTTCCATAATCCCCATTTCAGTATATGGTTTCTTGTAACTTCAGTATTCGGTGTAAGAAATAATAAGAACCAATGTTGCCCAAAAGATAGTTAAAATGAAACCAACTGAACCGGTTCGTGTTCTGGTAACGTAATTCAGTTTTAAGTTGGTTCAAAAAATTTGCGTAATACATTTTTTTATTTGTCAGTTGGTTCGGTTTTAGAACCACCGACTGATTGATAGCACCCCTATTTTAAACAATAAATTAGGAAACAAGGTATAACTTATTGCGGAGGACCTTAAAAAGGTAAATAGCTAGACATCTAACATCTTCCAGAAAAGTAAAGCTAAGAGACCAAGAACTATGGAGAGTGTGACAGCCTGTTAGAAAACGAGGAATAAAAAAGTGTGTCCGATAAAACAGTTACATAAGTAATCATCACTAAACTTTAATATAGATTGAAACAGATTCTTAGTTCTTAGTAACCTGCTGGCAAGTAGAAAAAATGATCCATCACGGTGATCCAATGCCAATCTTCGAAAGAAAGATGTGCAATGTTTCATCTATGAAGAGATGGATTTTCGAAGACTGTGCATCTCAAAACATGTATAGGTTTATAGAACAGTAACAAAAATCCATCTACATTCTGGAGCAAATGAAGAAATCAATGGTATCTCTGACCTTAGAAACATCTGTTCTGGCCGTTGTCTTTCTCCTTTGCAAGGAAGTGATGTTGCCTGACACATAACTTATCTTCTCAACATCCTTTTTGTTATTTTGTATCAGGCTTATTACACCTAAAAGTCTGCAAGTTCTATCTGAACTAAGAGAAGCAACCCATGACTTGGACAATGGATCCCAAGCCAACACCTTGAACATAATTGGAAATTGACCATCCAATAACTGATGCACAGAACCTAAAGAAAAGACACGAGGAATCAAGAAAAATCAACAATCAAAATTACTCTAACACTGTGCACTATGATCTTTTATTGCTTTCTTGCCTTGTTAACATCCCATAGTGATGCAAGAATTATCACTGATCCAGAGAACCAAAAAACGCCACAATCGGAGACCACTGCAAAGGCCAGCAACATCTTTCCCGATGAAAATCTGGTTCAAAAGAAATGATAAATAGATAAACAAAAATCAACAAAGTAATATAGGAATTGTAAAGAATATTCCAGATAAAAATATGCTCAAGTGTTTGAAAAAATAACGAATGAAATTTGGCCTAAAACTAGCCCTATATCAAACCATTCTTGATCTCAAGCCAAGAAAAATTGTTTCTAAAAAATGGAATACTGATTTTTACTATATAATTAATTTCTTCTCAATCAAGTATGGTGGAATTAAGCGAATGCATGAATTGTGTCAAATCATCAATTCAAGTTTGGCATCACATCAGAATGAAAAATGACGATTTTGGAACCTGATCCAGGTTTGAATCCTCGAAACATATCAGACCAAATCTGATAGCAATGGTCAGGCCCGTGGATTGGCATGTAGCAGCTTAAGGAGGCATAAAGACTTACGATAAAATTCTTGAGGAACTTTTCCCCAGGTTTGGCCCTTGTTCTGTGTGATATTTGCAACTTCTCATATTATCAACTCCCCTCCTTGCAGAGACCATTGTATTCAAGACATAATAAAATAAATTGCCTAAGATAATTAACTTACATAGACACATTGTTGTTATATTTATTATTTGAGGAACAAACAGCTGCTATGACGTGAAGCATACCAATCAGCTTCCGAGGCCAAGTTAGATCTCCTGCATAGTAAATATGAAGAGGACATATTAGCCTCAATGACGAGAAGTAAAGAGGACAGCAATGACAGATAGTAATTTTCAGAATTGTTTTATAGAGAAATGCAGTGAGAATACAATATGTAGACAAACATACACATATAAGAGACTATATGCAGATGTAAAGACAATTAAAATGTATGAATGACTCTGAGAACTTACAAGCAGAGTAAAGGATTATATTTCCAATTAAAAAAAAAAAAAGGAAAATATGTAATTTAGTTTCCTGAGTATTTGACGAAAATTATTTAAGTAGTTTTTCTGCGTTTCTTAATATAAATAGTCCTTTTTTTTCTGTTTACCGTTTATTTTAAGAGTTTCTTCTTCCGCTATAGTCATAAAGAAAATGACGAATATTTCTTTGACAATAGAAACGGTAAAAGATCAACATAATACCTGCGGTGCTTGATAATTAAAAAAAAAAAAAGAAAGTTGATGAATAAATGCAATATTTTAAATCAAGTATGGTTTTCTGACATTTTCTTATAATATAGAATAGGGAAATATAGTGGACAACGAAGTTAAAGAAATTGATGAAACTTAGAAAAACTTATTGCTTAATCCAAGATGAAAAAGTTTAACAATTCAAACCAAAAAATTAACACATTAACTTCAAGGAATTTCAAAATATTCAAACAAATCCCAACTAATCTGCAGCGTTCCCATTAATTCTACCATTGAATACTTACTATTTATTAATTCTTATTATGCCACGAATCACTAAGCATTAGTTAGTCACACTATGAAATTATCACACCTATTTCTATCTCTCTCAAACAGTAATTTAATTTACAAACCTATATAACAATACTGGAAAGGTAGAAAGAAAATGAAGAAGGAAGAGAAATTAGATCTTGTTTCTTTTACCAGAATTGTGTAGAAACCGAAGAAGCTATATTCAACAGCAGGGAACAGTGGTTAAAGACTTTATTTGTAAGAACTTTGCCAGTCTTCTCCTTGCTCAACCTGGAATTTAAATTAACAAAGCTGGGAGAAGTTCCATATCAACAGCATACAACTAACATTAGGTCCTTTGCTCCATTCCATACTATTATTAGACTATGAAAAACTATCTTTGATTTCCAGATTGGAACTCCATCCACCAAATAATGAACCAATTTTACATTATCATTAGAACAAATGGAAATAATTCATCTATATACTTTGTTTGAAACTTTGAGAATGTTTTTAATTAAAATCGTAGAATTAAACAGGTAAATGAGTAATTTATAAAGGCGCACAGTGGCTTTTAAAGGTCATTAAAATCAATAATTGTAGTTTATAATTCAAAATCCCAAATTCAAATTCAAAAGTCTATGGAGTTCAAACTCAATTATTAATGTTTGCAGTTTGCACATGGTAATTTACATTCAATCAATATTCATTTTTAATTCTTCTAATTTTAGGTCAAGGTCAAATTCGAAGGTTTCTGGCTTACTACAGAATTATTAGGCATTTCTAACAATTGTGTATTGAATTTATCTCAGATAATCATTCCATAAAGGATAAATCTCACAACAAACAAATCAATTGTGTATCATATATATTCCATAATTTTTCTTTTCTTCTAATTTCTTCCTCTTTTTTTTTTTTCAAACAATAATTTATACACACACATAGTTTGGTTACCATCAAAGATGTCAGAGAAAATGGAAAAACAGAACACCATTAACACTCTCATGTCAACAAAACACAATACACAGATATATAAAGATTTCAAAAAATAAAAATCAATATAAACGGGACGCCTTAAATTCCACCAAGGAAAAAAAAAATACCAGTTTTAAAAAAGGAAAATTACAATCCACAAGTTAATCGCACAAACTAGAACAATCAACCTGAGAGTATTAACATTTTTCTTTCAATAATACCTTGGAATATCAAAATCGGCCCCTCAGGTAGGGCGGAGACCCAGATCGTTAAAGTCTGTTTAATGCACAGCTTTTCCATCCAATTGATCTCACTTTGTTCCACGCTACTTCCATTTCTTTCTTCTATTTACCTTTTCTTATTGTCAAATCCACTTATCTCCCCTGGTTAGGAACTGTTAGAACAAGAAATTCTTCTATATAAGAAGGAGATTTTCCTTCCTTACTCAGGCTTTTAATTCTGAAATCTAAATACTGATAACAGGTTAATTCAATATCTCGTAAGCTTTTCCAACGGTAAGCCCCTTTTTCTATTCAACTTTTTTTTCCTGAAGAGCCCTAATCCAATGGATAAGTTTGACCTTTCCATTTTGGTTTTTTAATACCAATGATAGGTAGTTATTTACTGTAATTGTAACAAGCAATCATGTAACTTTTTTTTTTTTTTTTTTTTTTTGTACAGAAAACCGTAAATTACTTTATATCTAAACTCTACTAAACAATAATTATTTCAGAATAAAGCTAATTATGTTCTACAAAACTTATTTACAGGAAAAAAAAAGGTTAGGGATTTAACTTGTGTTTGGACAATTTTAGTTTATGAAATTTTATAATAAATAATAAAAAAGGAATTCGGATGTATTACTGTTTTAAATTAAATAATATACTTATTTGGGATTTTTAATAAATTAATCATATTTAATTTCACACATCGATTGCTCTTTAATCTTCTTTATTCTATAAAAGGAACACTCGGATCAACCTTTTTCCAACACCTTATGAAATAAAATTTAAAATTCTATTAATTAAATATTCACTTGGGTGGTAATATAATAAATTTATAAGACACTGCATTATAACTTAATTTTTCAATAATGGAAAAATGTATAAGCTGCATAAGGCCAGAAAACCCAATACATCTAACAACAGTATTTATTTTTCATTATTGGGTTGAAAGGGAGATTAACATTGTTGGGGGCCACAAAAATAGGGGTAGTACCTGCCCATATTAAACTGAACACATTCATAAAATTGGTGATAATTTTTGGGTGTATATTGATTGGGAATTTCGGAACTCGAGATCTCTTCACTATAAATATCTTTATTAAAGAATAAGAAAGAATCAGTCAGATTACACGCTCTCTTTATATCTATTATTTTTCTGACATTTTTATTTATTTTGAAATTTCAGTCTGATATTTTTTTATAGATGCCCCTTCAGACAAAACAATAGGCCATCTAGCACAAAACCTCCTGCCCATAGACAAATATACATTTAAGATTAAGCCACACCTAAACATGCATACGAGGGCTTCTTTAATTTTGCACCATCAAGTTTATAAATTGAATCCTGACGGAAAGATATACGTTTAACCATTGCAAAATTGTTTTTTTGTAAGTATTTCTTTGGTAACAATTATTTTTTAATGTAATTTTAATTAGATATTTACTTATGAAATAAAATTTTTTAGTATATTTTAATAATAATAGTGTTAGTACATTTTTATGTATCTAACTGGACCCAGTAGATAATGATTTTTTTATAACTGACTATTAAAATGTATATCTAGGATATTGAATTAGATTTATACTCTAATCTTGATTTGATTAGTATAAGCAAATATGCAATTTCTTTGTGCTTTATTAATCTCATTAAAAAGTGAGTTTTCAATTTATCGGAACAATTAATTTTCGGTGAATTTGGCAAAGGTAAATTTGTATTTTGTGAAAATATTAATTAACGATAAAAAATCTACGTCTTGGTTTAAAAGAAGATGAATGCGCTTTAATAACGCTTATAAAGGTTTTATGTGTAAAATCCTGCAAGAGGATTTTTAATTCGACGCATGAAAATAAAATTAGGGCG